TTCTAAGCATCTCATGTATTTTTCATAAAATCTAATATGCCAATTTTACAGAAGAAAACCTTCAGTTACCTCTACCAAAACTAGGCAATAAAAAAAGAGAAACACTAAATATTTTATTAGAAGGAAAATACCAAATCTGACATTAGTTTTCTTATACAGGTCAGCAATCTCTTATCGGCAATTCTGAGATACAAATAAACTCTGAAAAACCAAGTTTTTTCCCTAAGTCTGTGACAAAAAACTGACCTCAACTACGTAAGGTTATCTAGAGATAGGCTTACATAGCCTATTCCGGCTATGATGCATGTCTGATTTACAACTGCAGGAATATTAACCTTTTTGAATTGTGGGTGCTGCCCCAGACCCCATTGAGGGCGTTATGTAATCTACAGGATATATGGTATATTATCTTTGAAAAGGAGAAAATTCTGAATTCTAAAACCCCCAAGTGTTTTTAGTATATTTATAAACAAAGAAAAGCAACTGAAGCCTTGTGCTGTATAATATTGCCATCTGCTGACATCAGTTTAGAACTACAGATACATATCAAAATGGAAAGGTTTCATCTTGCTTATAGGGTTAAGAGTTTTCCCATGACTTGGAAAACAGTTGAGAGATTGTCTATTTTCAAAAGTTAATTGTTAGGAAAAAAAATCCTTAGTGAATTTTTAAAAAACATGCAATATATGTTGGACCTTATGTGTTCCATCCATCCTACATAACCCAGAAGTCGACTGGGTTGTTGACTTCAATGTAGTTGAAGACTTTACCTCTAATGCAGGGTGAGGGCGCTCTAGCTGCCCCTTTGGGTACTATTTTTAACTACTCTTGTACTGAGTTAGACTGAAAGTCAGGGATAAGAACTGATGCCCTCAGAACCGTACCGTCAAAATATTCAGAAATTGCTCTACTGACCATTTCTAGCAGAGCTAAAATCAGTATCAAGGTTACAGGGATCCCATGTTTTACACACTGTATAATCACAGATGGTAGTAATCCTCTATGAAACCTAGTCTGGACCATAATAGCCTTTTGGAGTATTTCTGTGTGTCCACAATTATCTGTATTCTAAACTATTAACAGCATGAATATATTCTCTATACGTTCCCTGGGAGTTAAATGTACAGTATACCAGTATCCCAAAAAGATATAAGCTTTGGAACACTAATGTCTTCTTAATCTTTTATTTTCTCTTCCTCCCTAACTACCATGGTTAGCAGCTCTTTGGCACAGAGGAAATATGTTAACAAATATTAAGTTTTGTGATAATGAATTTTAGTGTGCTGAGTTTACTTCTGAAGAGTTATCTGAATTGGACTTTTAAAAATTAGGTATAACATGTTCTCAGTGCTAAGGCTATTTTAGAAAAGATCTTTTCCCTCTTCAAAAAACAAATGTGCTTCTAAATAAATCAGAAAGATTCAAATGTAAGCCTCTGTAAAATTTACTATTATAACCATGCTCAATTTTAAACTCCAGAATCAGAAATCAAGGCGATGCCTTCATTTTGCAGATGAAGAAACTTAAGTCCAGAAAGAATTAAAGTACCTAAAATCCTGAAAAGAGCTGTAATTGTTCTTTTCACTGTACTACAATACAAACTATGCTCATTTAGGATTTACACCTCCTATGTTCTATTATTAATATTTTATTTACAAGTTAAATCTTAGCTTCTCTTTTTCAAAATGCCTGAATTCATGAACTTGTTCAACTCAATAATTAATTAGGGCATCACCTGTCCAGATTTTAGTGACAACTTTCTTCTCAGTTCATTACAAGGCCTAAGACCAGAGCCACTTTTTTGAAGTGCCCCTGTAACATCTAACTTCCAAGTAAAGACAAAGAAGTATTAATTGAGACACATCTTTAGGTGTTTCTATTCTCAGATCCAGACTGATGCAGCTAAGCTCTTATGCACATCAACTTCTAAACTGACAAGATTTAGTTAGTAGTATCAAGTACAATACACCCAGAAACAAAAAAAAGTACTTGAATACTGGAAAACAGCATTAAAACTGGTCTAAACCTAAGAATACAGTAGAATTAAATAAATGAAATTCAAACTCATCTCTAAAAATGAGTAAATAACTTATTAAGGGGGAAAATCCAAAAGTACTATAATTTAAAGAAATTTATTCTTTAAAAATATTTTCATGTACACTTTCATGACTATTTCACTTGCAGGGAACAAGAGAGATTACCCTAACAGTCAGTGTTAGCTTAAAACATTAAGTGACATATGTATAACAACACATTTTGGAAATACCTGGCAAAATAAAAATGTAAATGTTTATAGTAACTTAAGACTGCAAGATATTTAAGATCTCAGATTAAATGGACCCACATTGGAGTATTGCAAACCAAAACTTGCAATTTTATGACTTCTCCACTTGCAATTTTGACTGTAATCCTAACACTATGCATAAACAAGTTAACCCCATTCCCAAATCACCACTGGCCAGGACAAAGGGAAAGTCCATCAGAAAACAGTGATAAATTTGAATGCATGTATAATACCATATGCATCCTCCTCCTACTTCAATGCTTAACACACTGGTACAACTCCATTTAATAAAAGAAAAACATGAATTAGTATTTAAGCAAAAAGTATTTTATGGGAAAAAAAAAAGTTGAGCTTCTTGCCTAGAAAAATTCTTTAATATCTTACGTTCTCTAATACAGTAAAAAGCCTAAAAAAATGCGTTAATGAAGATTCAGTTTTCATGGGAAATCCACTTTCCGCAATATGGATAAATGTTTTTCATTGGATCATTTCAAATGGCAAAATCTTCTTCAGAACAGAAAAATATAGCATCTTCAATAGACAATAAAGACAATAAAGTTATATTTACAGGATGCTATCTATAATCAGAGATCACCAAGAACCAAAAAGAAATTGCTATCATTTCATTGTCCTTTTTCTCAGCAGTCAGCTATGACATATAAACTAAGAAGATCCAAGAATCAATGAAATGTGTTCTAAGTAAGATAAGTTTCACAGAACAAACAATTCTCATAAAATAGGTTTTTTTTTCTTTTCCCCCTGAGAATCAAGTTAATCTATCGTTGGACTGCAATCAAGATAAAGACAAGAGCTCTAAATCCTCAATCATGTCAAGATCAGAATTATGTAGACATTTCCACTTAGAAAAGCCAAAATATACAAATGAAGAAAATGTAAATAGCAAGACAAGGTGCTTAATAGTAGTACTATGGCAGAAACCTATGGTATTTGGTAAAATATACATTAAGTGACATTTGGGAAAAACTTTATTGCTCTTGATGAAATATAGCACCACTTTGAAGAATAAAAGATGGTTAGGATTAACCACCTTTTAATCAACAATAGGCATTAATAGGAAAAGTGCTTAAAGAAGTAGTTCTGGAAAAAGGTAAGTTTGAGGAAATTTTTGTATTATATATTTTAAATGTTATCCACTTGTCTTCATTAGACAATCAGCAATCTATTTTAGTAATGTAATATCAGATTTGCTGTCAGTCTCCTTATCACTCAACAAATATAAAATCAAGGGACAAAAAAGTCATTCAAACTTATAAAACAAGTTAGAACATTATAATTTTTTATGCCAAAAACATTTCAGATAATTATTGCTTAAATATACAGTGATCACACCTGTGAAATTTTCTAAATCATGATTGAGAAAATTTCTTTCTATGCTAACATTTATCCTAAGTGGGAGAGAAATAGCTGAAGAATGTGTAGACATTGCCTAACCACTGTGGAAAATAGCCCAATTTCCCCCTGAACAATTTTTAAAAACTAATGTCACTGTAATGATTCAGGAATTAGAAACAAGAAAACGTGATTACACACATGCTGTATGAAGTCAGCCAAATGATTTATGATAATTTGCAGCTAGCGCTTTGCTTAGTCTTCAGAAAGTAGGATTTTAAATAAATTTCCTTATTCTAAAAGAAAAATGTGAATGGATAAATTGCTATGCAGAAGCACAAAGTTTTTTAATGCAATCTTCTATAAGAAGTAATTAAATTTTAAAAGCCAAACAATTTAACATCGAATTCGATTTCCTCTAAGATAGATTTTATCCATCAGTTTCTTTGTTCTTCAATCATCTGAAGTATCAGAATTACTACACTGATAATCATAATAAAATGTGATACTATCTTATTCAAAGTAGCTTGACTTTCTATAACAACTATTTCAGGAGTGGCATTTCTAAAAATAATTTTATCTAATGTATGCATCAGTCATATTTGGAAGCAGGCACAAGAATTCTAAGAAAATTGGTAAAGTTTTAGAGTACTACACAGGTAATATTGCAGCATGATCTGTATCCCCAAGGAGGAAAAATAAATAAATAATAAAAAAAATCAAACCTCTATAAATGAAAGGGATTTCAGATACTTATGGCTGACACAGAAGAATACAGAATTTTATACTTTTATCAGACATTTTTACAAAAAAAATGTCTTGATGGTCTTGTTTCCAACTTATAGTCATTATTTATATATATATATACATATATATAATGTTTTTTATTTATTAGGGTGATGCAGAAAGCCACAAATGAGAAAAGGACACTAAGGTTTTAATAAGGGAAACAAAAAGTTGTTTTCACCAGTATAGATTCACATTACAGTACACCAATATTGACAGCATTCTCTTGTCTATTTTTGGTACAGAAGATGGTTTCTCTCTACATAACCTTGTAAGGCTTCAGTAACTAAAACGTAAAACAAAACAAACAAACAAAAGAAACCCCAAAACAAAACAAAAATCCCAGCCTATTAGTTTACAGTTTATTTTAAAAATTCTGAAAGACACTGCAAGTTCTAAACTTTTAGTAGTGCTACCCATACACAACCATCTGGTTAAGAACCCAGTAAAACAGCCCCCTTTCAAGGAAGCTTTGCAACAGTAGAGTTGTGCAATGTGGATGCTTCTTACTACAAGAAAAAAATTATACATGGCACATTCTCATTCATATTTTGTAATGTAAAAAGTTACAAACATACCTAATCAAATAAATAATAATAAAAAAAGAATTTGAATGTATTTGTTAAGTATCCTAAAACCACTACATAGAATAATGGCAACTTTCACTCACAGATTATTTACATGGTAATACCCAGTGTGGGTACACTGCTACAAAACTCGAAACAGAAGGAGTAAACTTGAAATGTTTTCCATAATAAAGATCTAGCAGCATGACTATCTAATGCTGTTTTATCCCGATTGCTTCTGAAATGTTCCTTTTTAGTCTGTGTCTTCATCCAGTTCATAATTGTCTTTATCATAAATATCTTTTACTAGAAGAACCCGTACGAGCATATTTTCCAAGGTGTTTCGGTCCAGTGAAGTAGATGTGTACCAGATAGGGCTATCTGTAGAACTAGAGCATTCTGGTTGCAAATAAAAAACATCCATTCTCTGATTAAGATTCTGTGGACTTTGGAGGAAAGGAGAGAAAAGGTCAATTTCACAAAACACATACAACATTTCCCACAACTTTCTTTTCTTCTTTCAAGAATAATCAGATCCCACTAATCACATTATGTGGCCAGACCCTATGCCTCATCACCCACATTAAATATTGTCATCAGAATATTCTCAGAAGTTATTTTCTGTGATAAAGAGATTACTTCCCACCATAATTTAAACTCTGTATTTCACTGAACCCAAGACACTATCAATAGACACACTATTCCTTATTTTAATGTTACCACTAAGCAGGCAAAACACTGCCAATTATAATTTTAAGATGCATCAATTTAATTTAAACATGCATCCCAGTTTCAGAAATAGTGAAATGTGAAAAATGTGTCTTAAAATTGATGAACTATGGCGGCACATAAAAATCCTTACGGCATTAAACAGAAACTCAATTTTTAAAATACCAGTAAGATAATACCAAGATAGGAATTTCCACCTAACAAATAGTTACTATCATTGGAAGAACCCCGATACTGCTGCAGCCAAATAGGGCTACCCTAAACCATGGTGAAAAATACAGGTAGAACATACCTAATCCCAAAATCCAAAATCTGAAACTTTTTGAGCACCAACTGACACCACAGTGGAAAACTCCACACATGACTTCATGTGAAAGAGTGGCAGTCAAAATGCAGGCACATAACGCACAGTATATTCAGCATCCCCAAGGAAAAAATAAAATTACCTTCAGTCTATAGGTATAAGGTATATATGAAACATAAATGAATTCTGTGTTTAAACTTTGGCCCCAGCCAGGCACAGTGGGTCACACCTATAATCCTAGCACCCTAGGAGGCTGAGGCAGTAGGATTGCTTGAGCTCAGGAGTTCGAGACCAGCCTGAGCAAAAGGGAGACCCCGTTTCTACAAAAAATAAAAAAATGAGCTGTGTGTTGGTAGAGTGCACCTCTAGTCCCAGCTACTTGGGAGGCTGAGGCAGGAGGATCGCTTGAGCCTGGGAGTTGGAGGTTGCAGTGAGCTGTGATGATGCCACTGTTCTCTAGCCAGGGCGACAGAACAAAAGTCTGTATTCCCCCTCATATCCCTCCCAAAAAAATCTTTGGCCCCATCCCTGAGATCTCTCATTATGTATACGCGAATGTTCTAAAATCTGAAAAAAAATCCAAAATCCAATATACTTCTACTCCCGAGTATTTTGGATCATGGACATTCAACCTGTACCACTATCAATCAACCTACAGGTGACATGATTGTTCTAACAAGTTCTTGAGGGCCACCCTGGGGACCTAACTGTGATTTATAAAATTGTTTATATAAGGAAGTACATTCCGAGTTCATGCTAAGCTTTTGAAAATTAGGGAGTGCTTACTTAAAACAATGGACAAGCATAAAATAATCTATGGTCCCTAAACATTTCATTGGTTTAAATTTTTAAAAATGCCTGTTAGTCTCAGATTGGGAAAAACAGCAATGGTATAATTGAAAAGTATAATACTTTCAGTACACTACTTTCAGACCTTCTTAAAAGGCTATTTTCTCAAGTTTGTGCCCCTGCTTTGCAGAGTCATTGAAACTGCCATAATTTAAAAGAAGACAGCAGTAGTAATTTCATTAATAGTGATTTCTTAATATATGCTTGAATCCTAAAGTATGAAATATATGCTAGGTATTTCATATAAAAAGTTGTAACTGAATGGACTTGGATATAAGTGAGAAGAGAGAAATCTACAAAAAGGATCAGTAAAAAAAATGACACCTCTTGGTAGTGTTAAATTCAAACCAACCAACTTTATACTACCATTATAAAAAGTTAAAGTATCGTTAATACTCACCTTTTAGACAAGTAGCATTCAAACATTTTCACAGGACATCTAGAAGGATTGGCTGTGTTTTCAATTTGTTCAAATACTGGCTCATCATCTTCATGTTTTCTTTTTCCAGTAGTAATTTTATCTTAAAAAATAAAAATTAAATAAACCTCCTAAAACCAATCTTGAAGAACAGAACAGAAGCAAACATCCAGATAGTACTATTCATTTCGAGGATCTGTTACACCAAAGAATGGGACTAGGTGTCCTTCAGAGTTCTAAGTTATGGCTTTCGGTAATGCACAATTTTTCAAACAGAAGGAACTACGACATCTTAAGAAGAAACAGTTTGCCTTATTTTATAAAAATGACAATGCTTAGGCTCTTAACAAGTGATCCAGGTAATCTCTAGTAAGGCAAGATTTGTATATCCCCACCGCATACAATCTGAAAAATAAAAAGACACAAATACACTACCTTCATTATCTGTTCCACATAAGGAAGACACTTGGTATCGAAGACACGCTTTGTTTTCCATTGTTAAAGGATTTTTTTTCCAATGCCTAAACACAGTGCCAAAGGAAAGTCTTAAGTGTTGTTCCACTGTTTTCAGGCCAAAATACTTAGTGTTAAAGTAGAACAGTGTATTCAGAAGAGCTACTGGAGAGTGTGATCCTAGTTGTTTTATCCTCCAGAGATAGTCTTCTTCAACTCGAGAGAATATTGACCCTTAAATAGAGAGAACTATTTTTAAAGAATTATAATCAATAAAACAGTTTTCATTCAACCATCTAGAAACAGATAATGTTAACTTAGGAACAAACCTATTGTCAATCCTCCATTTACACCAGGTCAACTGGAATGAACTCTGGAATTACCTACGCAGCTCTTTAACAACACAGAGGGGAGGGAAACACACCAGACTATGGAACTATCACCTCTGGAATAGGGACTAGATGTCTGCTTCTCTTCTTCAGTAGGAGAAGCAGACAGTGGTCAGAATGGAATTTAAATCTGTAGAATTCCTGAAAAAACAGGTGATTCCACATACATACACATTTTCTTCACACACCTAAAACAGTGGTTTAAGAGAAATTTACATCAGAGTCTCCACTTGTAGACCTTAAAACACAACATCCAGGCTCTCATGCCAGATAAAGGAGGTCACATTTCTTACAAAGTTCTTCATAAACACTAGCTAATAACCACGTTCAATTCTAATTCAACAAGAGGTGAACATCAGATGAAAAATAAGCTATCTAATTTAAATGACTTCCTAATTATTTTAACATACTCTCTGTAAAAATAATCCCAGTATCTAGTTAGTAACACCTTTATTTAAAATAGCATTACCATCTGGAAGTATGCTTGGTTGCCAACTTCGGAGTATTTTATTCAATTCTTGCTCAAATGTCTGGTATCCTGGATCAATAAATATGTTGTCTTTTCGATTACTACCATACAAGTACTATAAGAAAAACAAAAAAATTATTGAATGAAAATCAGCTGATTTTAAACAGTGAACATACCATATTCTGTATGTATTTCTTAAGGAAAAAAATAAACGAAGATTTATGTCTAAGAAAAGCAAGTATACTAATAAAACATGAGAGATGACTGGTTTTATGTATGTACCTAGAAATCGTAAAGAACCAAACATTACCAACTAATCTGTTACTCGAAACACTCAAAGCTGAAATATACACTCTGGAATGTAAAAACTGGATGAGAATCTTCAGTCTGTCAGACAAACAAAATAATATCTGACTCCAATATTTATTATATAGTACATGGGGAAAACTTAAAGAGTAATTAACAATTAAAGAAAAACACCAAGTAGTAAGGATGGGCTGAAATGTCTCTCTGTAACGATCAGAAGCTCTTCTAACACTCCGACTTTGTCAGGCTAATGCTTTTTTTCTTACTGTCTCCATATGCTTAACTCTCCACCTGCGAGCCTGTACTGATTTATGAATCTTATAACTTACTGTCCCAACCTTGAATCTTAACAGTGAAGGCTGTTACGGAGTAAACACTAAAGTTTAAATACTAGTGGGATTTAAAAATAAAATAATATAAAAGTAAATAGTATGGTAACAACAGCACAAAGAATGGGAGACAGGAATTGGGATTATGCTGAGTATACTGTTGTAAGGCTCTTTTACTACATGTGAAGTGGCATAATATTATTTGAAGGTAAATAATGATTAATTAAATATGTATATTGTAAATCCTAGAGCAACCAATAAAAAAACTTTTAAGAGGTACAAATAATAAACTAGTAGTGGAGATAAATTCAGAAGGCGGCAGAAAAAGACAAAAAAAAAAAAAAGAACAAATAGAACACAAAACAACCAACAGGACAATAGATTTTAATTCAATGACAGCAGTAATTATATTAAATGTAAAAGGTCTAAGCCAGGGTTGGCAAAGTAGAGCTCTTGCGCCACATCTGGCCCACTGTAAATAAACAAAGCTTTCTTGGAATACAGACACACTGGCTCATCTGCATACGGTCTATGCAGCTTTCATGCTATAGTGGCAGAACTGAATGGCTGCACAACACAAACATGGCCTATAAAACCTAAAACATTTACCCATGTTGTCTTTTATTTAAAAAGTTTGTTAGTCTCCAGTATAAACATATCAATTAAAAGATAGTATCAGATTGGATTTTTTTTTTTTGAGGCAAGGTCTCACTCTGTTGCCTGGGCTACAGTGCAGTGGCATCATCATAGCACTCTGCAACCTCAGACACTTGGGTTCAAGCAATCCTCCTGTCTCAGCCTGTCAAAGTAGCTGGGACAACAAGTATGTGCTACCACACCTGGTTAATTTTTTTACTTTTTATTTTCTGTCACGATGGGGGTCTTGCCATTGCCTAGGCTGGTCTTGAACTCCTGGCTTGAAGAGATTCTCCTGCCTTAGCCTCCCAAAGTGCTAAGACTATATGCAAGAGCCGCCACACCTTGCCCAGATTGGATTTTTTTTTAAAGTAAGGCTCAATATGCCGTCTACAAAAAACCTATTTTAAGTAAAAAGACACAGATAAATGAAAAGTAAAAGAAAAGAAAAATGTATACCATGTATACATTAATCAAAACCTAGACTAGCTGGGCGTGGTGGCTCATGCCTACAACCCCAACGCTCTGGAGGCTGAGGTGGGAGGATGGCTTGAGGCCAAGAGTTCAAGACTAGCTTGGGCAACATAGTGAGACCCCATCTATATAAAAACAATAATAATAATAAACCCTAGACCGGAGTGTCATCATCTGGGTTGATCTAATGTTACACCTACTAGTCAGAAGGAATATTAGCCAGATTCCAAAATAGTGGATTCCAAAATAGTAGAACAAAAACTCCTAATTAATGCCTTTCAAATAGGATGACAGACCAATTGATAAAAGCCTGGCAATTAATGAAGTGATAATGCCAGGTCTCTTCCCTGCTTTGGGGTCAGTCAGAGGGTAGGAGCTCTAAAATACCATTTCCTAAACTCTGGAGATCCTCACTGTTATACATACAGCACTGATTGGTTAAAATAGGGTTATCATGATTCAATCTATTTAATGTGACTACATTTTTGTAAAGTATCATCTCTAGATTTTTTAAAAATGCAAACTTAGTTGCACATTATATGAAACAATCACTAAAGTAAAACCTCCAAGTTTAGAACAGCAATTTATATGTTGTTCTTACCATAAAGCAACATAAATAATAAAAAAATGAGAGAAATGATCTTGAAATAATTATTTTCATCTGTGAGTCTAGCAATGAAGGGAAAATAATTTCTATGTATTTTCACAACTTTAGCAATAATAAGCCAAAATCTACGTAGATCACAACTCAACTCTACTAAAAGTGTTCCTAAATGAAGTGCCTGCCAATACTTAGTTATTCTGAAAAGGTTTCTCTAGGCAATTCATGATAAATTCAATGATCTGCTGCCCTGTTGTTAACAGAACGGATTACAATATACTTTATTAGTCACTGTGGTAGTGTGGGAAGCAATGCCATATTATTATTGCTGCTGTTACTTTCCATTACAGGCAGTCCCAATTTACAAACACCTCATCTATACATCGATGGCTGCCCTATCACCAAAGCCCTTGTGATCAATGGGAATCTACAGAATGAAAGAGAACCCATGGTTTCAGAAACAGAGGCAAAGGAGAAGCTATGAAGAACAGTAGCAACTTATAGGAACTAACCCCAAAGAAAACTTCCTGATAGGACAGGCTTGTCTAAACAGTAGCACTCTTAATAAAAAATTGTCTTCACAGAAAATCTTCAATTATAGAATTATGTGAGTAAGTATCTTCTTTTTAAAATACAAATTCCTTTATAAGAATTACTGATCTCTCACTTTACTTAGGTTTCTTTGAAACTATACATGAGAACACTAGAGTTCTCTAGATAATTTTGGAATGACTATATAGAGCAGTATTGAGCAATAAAAATATAACGTCAGTTATACATGTAATTTTAAATATTCTAATAGCCACATTTAAAAAGAAAGAGGTACAATTAATTTAATATTTTACTTAGCCCAATATATCCAAAACATGCAATTTCAACAAATATAAAAATAAATGAGGTATTTAACATTTTAAAATCCATAAATTTCTTTGAAATTGTGTACATATTTTACTCTCAGAACACTTCTCATTTCAGGCTAGCCACATTTCAAGGCCCCTGCTTTTTCTTTTTTTTTTTTTTTGAGACAGAGTCTCACTGTGTTGCCTGGGCTAGAGTGCCGTGGCATCATCCTAGCTCACAGCAACCTCAAACTCCTGGGCTCAAGCAATCCTCCTGCCTCAGCCTCCTGAGTAGCTGGGACTACAGGCATGCGCCACCATGCCCGGCTAATTTTTTTCTATGTATTTTTAGTTGTCCGATTAATTTCTTCCTATTTTTAGTAGAGACGGGGTCTCGCTCTTGCTCAGGCTGGTTTCGAACTCCTGAGCTCAAACAATCCGCCCGCCTCGGCCTCCCAGAGAGCTAGGATTACAGGTGTGAGCCACCGCGCCCGGCCAAGGCCCCTGCTTTTTCTGGTTTAAAAAACGCTTTGTAAGTCAAAGCAGCACATTGATAGATATCTATTTACTTAAATAGAAATGATGGTACTGGTATTTGAGAAGCACAATGAAAGTCCCATATAACATAGCTAATAGACAGATGAAAAACATGTATTTTAGATAGTATGTTCAGACCATTAACATGTTTGTTTAGCCATGTATTGTCACTAATATGACAAGTATGTATTGTCAAAGAATGTTCTGGAGAGACAGCTAAAGCAAGAAACCAATTATGTCTAACAATAGACATAAGAATTTGTGAAATTAAAATAAATATTGGGAATATAAGACATTCATAATTTGAGGGCTATTAAGAGATTTTACTTTTAAGATCCTAAAATCAGTTTTAGTTATTTGAATAAAGCTTGATTAAGAACAACGTAAAGTAACCCACCATTACTTTAGCTACAAATCAGTAGTTCTGCACAATAATTTGGGTTTCAATGAAAATATTCCAGCCTTCAGTTGCCTACATCCAAGAAAAGAAAACAAAATCGAGTGTGATCTTTAAAACTATTTAAAACCTTTTCATGTTTCACCCTAGATAAAAGATAAAGTCTGAACATCTGATCATGGAATACAGGCCGTCTGTGGTATGACTCTTGCCTACTGTGCTGCCCTCCCCCAATCACCCCAAAGCTCTCCCCACTTCACATTCTACACTCCAGCTATGCCAAGCAGTTCCTGGAAAACATGCCTTTGTATATATGTTTATCTCTTCTTGTAATGCCATTGTCCTTCCCTCATCCTTTCTGCCCAGAAAATTTCTATATGTACTTCAAAACTCGATGTTTCCTACATTGTTATATTTTTTCATATTAGGTACAATTAATCAATCCCAGTTCTGTGCTACCAACATACAATGTTTAAATATTATTTGTCTGTATATTTCAAATCCTTTAGTGGAACATATATATTGTAGTAGCTTTTAAGTCAAACTCCTCACTAGATTCAAAATTTATGAGCTATGTAACTTGGACAAGTTACTTAACTTCACTTCCTTATCAAAAAATGGTGATAATTATAGCAAGGTTGTTGAGAGGATTGACTGACATGTCAATCACGTAGCAGTACATGGAAGGCAATAAACAGTAAATGTAAGATATCAACACAGTTATCTCAAAGCTTACTCCAATGTCCAGTGTCCAGCATACAACAGTACTTTAAGGCTTGCTGAATTAACCAATGAAAGAAGGATTAGCGAAACTCTGAATCTACCTCATCACTGTTATGAAATAAAAGCAAATTCTTAAGACCCTCTGAATAAAGAGAGATTAAATAAGTTTAGAAATGTTCCATGTATTTTAATAGAATTTATTTGAAA